TGCAACGCAGCGCTGGTGTACACCACAGTGCCTGCGTGCATAGGACAAGTAGAACGAGCATGTACGTATGTGAGGATCTGCTGCGGACAACTAAACGCCACGCCAGGAAAGTGCTGATTATCGAATGCGACGTTTTTCCCTCCTCCATCCTCCTCCACCTCCACCTCCACCTCCTATTCGTCCTCCTCTTCCTCCTCCCCTTCCTCCTCCTCCTTACCCCCTGTCGTGCGGGTTGGCGCTACAACGCACCTGCGCATCTCAGCGTGCACCGCAGAATTGTGTATTGAATCGGTCCACTTGGTTCTCGGACGGCCAATTGAGCTGGAGCCTCCTGGACGCAGATGGGAGGCGTTAGGGTGGTGCGGGCGGACTCGGGAGGACTCGTAGATTCCAGCGGCGCTCTTTTGTCCATAAGTATTCCTTTCCATTGTTTTCAATGGAATCTACAAACGCTCGATTTTGTCATGAGGATTCCTTCTAACATTCTATATACAACAGTGGCGCTGTGTTGCACACGGTTGCTGTGGTGCACACAGGCGCCGTGGTGTACACGGGCACTGCAATGCACGCAGGCAGTGTGGTGTACACTGGTGCTATGTTGCACACGGCTGATGTGGTGTACGCAGGCGCTGTGGTGTAATTACACAGGAGCTGTTGCGCCCGCAGGCACGGTGGCACACATTGGCACTGTGTTGCACGCGGCTGCTGTGGTGTACACAGGCGCGCTGTGGTGCACGCGCATGCACTGTGGTGTACACAAGCGTTATGGTGCAGATCGCTACCTACATGCTGGTGCTACCCGTCCTCCGCCATTCCAAAGCATTTCCAGACGCCGCCGGCCTGACACGCGACGTCATCGCCCCCCTCCAACCCCCCAAATGATTGCCGTCATCGGCCCAGAATAAAAAATAGGCTCCAGCCGCGTCCGCGCGCACGACGACGAGAGCGACGAGCGACGAGCGACGACGACGAGGACGAGGACGACGACTGCGGACCAAACTCCTATGCGGATTCCCACGCGGACACCTACGCGGATCCCAATGCGCACGGCGGCAGTGCCCGGAGCGCACTGGGGGGGGAACGTTTACGTCATAAGGGAGGGGGGCGGGGGCCATGACGCCCGTCATGCCCCAAGCAACAAAGAAACGGGCTCATCTTTAGTCGAGGTCCTGGCCTGGGGGGATTGGGCGTCTTGGAGGCCTCTTCGGGCCTCTTGGGAGCGCTCTCGGGGGGCTTTGGGGGGTAGATTTCGGGCCTCTTGGGAGCCTCTTCGGGGCCTCTTGGGGCCCTCTTGGGGCCTGTTGGGGGCCTCTTGGGGGCCTGCCGGTGCCTCCTGGGGGCCCCTCGGGGCCGAAGATTCGAAATGTCCGCTCGGGCCCCCCATCTGGGCCCCCTCTTGGAACCGTCCTTGCGGCCTCTCTGGCGGGCTGGGCGCCCCTTGGGCTGTCTTGGAAACCTCTGGGAGCCGGCCGCGCCGGCCGCGCCGGCCGCGCAGGCCCCGCGGCTCGAACCGAGTGCGCGGAGGGAGGAGGAGGAGGAGGAGGAGGAGGAGGAGGAGGAGGAGGAGGAGGAGGAGGAGGAGGGTAACGAGCTCTACGCAACACATCCACCGCCCGAGGCCTGGCCCCTGCTGGGCCCAGGAGGGGTGTCTGTGCATCCCTGCGCGGCGAAGCCAGGACGAAGACAGATTCGGATGAGGATATCGGGTCGGGCGAAAGGGGGGGATAGCAAAGGGGGGGTTTGAGAATCAGCGCACGTAGCTGATTTTCCGGGCGCCTCCCGGCGCCGGAGGCGGCTATGTATCGAGGAATGGGCCCCTCGGTGAGGCCGAAACCAACTGCATGCAGCAAATTTCGTAACCCCCCCTTTCCCAATCCCCCCCTTTCGCCCGGCCCGAGGATACCTGGAGAGCCTCTGGGATCCGGCGGGTGTAGAGGACGTCTCGGGCGAAGCGCCCTTCTCGGAGCATTCTGGAAACAGCGTTCCGGAACGCTCTGGGGCGGTTTTGTCCAGGCGGTGGACATGAATAGATCCCGTCACCCCAGCACGGGTGAAGGAGGGGGCCGCGCGCGAGCTGTACAACCCCTGAGACCCGGGCATTGCAGTCTGTTCGCGCCCGGGCGAGGAGGAGAAACGAGACTCACGCACGATGGCACAACGACCTTAAGCGCGCGGGCCGCCAACGCGGCACGCCGCAGCCGAAACGAGGGCGCTTCCGCACGATATTACGCGGGCAGCTTGCGCGCTGGTGTTGGCGAAAACGACACCGCTCCCCTCCGTCGCTCGCCCGGCGCTTTCGCCTGGTCCCAGGTCCCCGGGGCCTTCACATATCGATCTGGCTCTAGTCGGCTGCGAGCGAGGGGGTGGGAGTGAGAAGGGGGCAGGGCCGGGCTCAGAGGTCTCCTCGCCTTCTGAAAAGTTATCTGGGCCTTCCCCGCCGGAGGCCTTCTGAGAAGACCTTTTCCTTCTCATCTCCTTCCTTCGCTCGCCGCCGATTTGG